GCCCATTTCGAACCAAATTTAAACAAGTATTTCTACACTCTTCTAAACACTCTTCATACATCTCTAGCACTTGTAATCAGTCAAATTCCTTTGATTCTAACATATTCTAACCCCAAAAAACACTAGACAAGCCATTTAGTGGGTCAACACAATGTTTCCGAGTTCTTAACCCATTTGGGACCAAATTTCAACAAGTCTTTCTCCACACTTCTAAAGTCTCTTTATGCATCTCTAGCACTTGTAATCACTCAAATTTATTGTATTCGAAATTATTCTAACACCCAAAAACACTAGACAACCCGTTTAATGCTTCAAAGCAAGTTTTGGGGGGTTGTTAGACCATTTCTGACCAAATTTCAGCAAGTTTTTCTCCTCACTTCTAAACACTCTTCATGCATCTCTAGCACTTGTAATCAATCAAATTCATTGTATTCAAACATATTATAACCCTAAATAACACTAGACATACCATTTAATTGTTCAACGCAATGTTTATGAGTTCTTAGCCCAGTTGTGACTAAATGTTAACAAGTCTTTCTCCACACTTCTAAACACTATTCATGCATCTCTAGCATTTGTAATCACTCAAATTTATTGTATTCTAACATATTCTAACCCCAAATAACATTAGACAAGCCAGTTAATGGTTCAAAGCAATGTTTGTGGGATCTTTGCCCATTTCGGACAAACTTTCAGCAAGTTATTCTACACACTTCTAAACACTCTTCATGCATCTCTAGCACTTGTAATCAATCAAATTCATTGTATTCTAACATATTCTAACCCCAAATAACACTAGGCAACCCGTTTACTTCTTCTAAGACATGTTTAGGGGTTCTTAGCCCATTTTGGACCAAATTTCAGCAAGTTTTTGTCCTCACTTCTAAACACTCTTCATGCAACTCTATCACTTGTAATCAATCAAAATTATTGTATTCTAACATATTCTAAACCCAAAAATCACTAGAGAAACCATTTAATTCTTCAAAGGAATATTTGTGGGTTCTTAGCCCATTTTGAACCAAATTTAAACAAGTATTTCTACACTCTTCTAAACACTCTTCATGCATCTCTAGCACTTGT